TTAATTCTCTGTTTAACAGTATTTGTACTCGTGTTAAAATCAATTAATATTAATATTTTACAACTAAAAATATGTTGCTGTCCGTCGTTTGTTCTTATTGAATTGATTTATTGCCCAATGGGCCGATGTCGCAGTTGAATTCACTACAAAATAAAGCATGGAAACGTTACAGACGATCAGGCTATCATCAGTCGTTTGAATGGAAATACATTTTGGCGTCTCGTGAATTCGATAAACTCAAAACGGAACTATACAACACATACGTGATTACAACGATTACAACAAACGACTTGAGGCGTTGAACATGACATCGTTGGAGCGTAGAAGAGTGAATGCATCTATTGTATTCATGTACGACATCGTGAATGGGATCGCAAATTGTCCCAATGTACGTAACGACATAGCTATTGGAGAGAGCGTACGTATCTTACGGCACACAGACTACCTCAAGATTGAAGATAAGCTCATGGACAAACAAATCAGAGCTCAAGTGCCTCAAATGTGCAAGTTTGCAAACAAAGTGGCAGATCAATTCAACAACTCAACCAGCCGTGCAAACTTCATCTCGTCGGTACGCAGCGAACAAAACCAAAAGTTTAATACAAAATATTGACGAATTGTTATCTTACATCCCTACAAAATGTAATGATATTTATCCGTGATTTTTACACAAACTTTAAAATAAGTAGCAATATTAACTGTGATATAGCCATCCATTGAGTTGGTGATCAACTTTTGACCTGCCATTAATTTATAATTTATAATGGAAACTACCGTTTATGTTAATGTATTTGCAAGTATTGTTATTATTTTATTATTATTATTCTGCACCATACAGCGTTTCTTCGCCAGAGGTGGTTTATTTGGTATAAATATTTGGTTATATATTGACAATATTTATAATGAATTCGTATTTTCAGTCTCTCCAAGTTCTATTTCTTCTAAAATAATCAGTTATTCTTTGCTTGACAGTGTTTGTGCTAACATTAAAATCAATTAAATAAGTTTTATATATTTTTGGAATAGTACTAGTATCACAATCATTCGTTTGATTTGGCTCTATGATATTAAAGTATTTATAAAATTCATACCTAATGAATGCAATGTTACTACGATTCCAACTTGTGATACTTATTTGATTGATTTTAACACAAATACAAATACTGTCAAACATAGAGTTACCGAATATTTTAGAAGAAGCAGAACTTGGAGAGAGTAAAATGAAATATCAAATTGTAAATATTTCAAATATAAAATCAAATAATAAAACTTCTTTCGAAGTAATTCCTTGTGACGAAAGCGAACACGAAACAGTTGATATCAATTTTAAAAAATCATTACGGAGCGATTCTGAAATTAGTTCGAAGAATGCAAAAAAAGCAAATCTAAATCGTTCCGAAATAATTTTTAAAATTAATATCAACTGTTTCGTGTTCGCTTTCGTCACGGGTAATTACTTCGAAAGAAGTTTTTTTATTTGATATCAGTTGTTTTGTACCCGAAATTTTTTTTTCAACAAAACCAATTAACACTTAACAAACACAAAGTGGTGTGTATTGAGCCAAAGAAAATGAAACATGAAATGTTGTAGTTAAAAACCAGCATTTTCGCCTTTTTGAATAAAGCAAAATCAGCGCGTAGGTACGAAAGCAGACTTATAAGCGTGTGAAATCGAGTTCGAGTCGCACACCGGAGGAGAAGAAAATTAATTTTTTTTCGTTAAATAAAATTGGGTTTTTGGACAGACAGATGAAATTACATTTTGTTTTGATGAAATTACATATCGCTTTCATACTAAGAAACTATCACATGTTTAGTTTTTTCATGATGAATCGTTTTGATTTTAATTTTTTCATGAAAAGTACTTTTTTGTGTTTTTTGTTGATTGCGTGGAATAAAAAGACTTGGTGAGGGGCTGGTATCTGAAGGAATTTTATTCAGCTGAACTCAACTTTCAGCGAGTTCAACTTTCAGCACAGAGGTGCATTCGTCACTCGCGCCTGCTGTCGCCGGCTGTGATAATATTCATACTAAATACACCACCTTTGCCGAAGAAACGCTGTATGGTGCAGAATAATAATAATAATAATAATGATAAGAGATAAGAGATAATTTTCTTCAGCTAAGTTATAGAAGACCTCGAGTACTACAACTTGCCGAAGAGACCAAGTTGTTATCTCTAATCAGTTCCACGAAAACTGCAGAAAAACCGTGACTGCCCGCCAAAAATGAACAAACTCGCCTTTAACCATTTTTAAGTCGAAAGAAAAAGAGTATGTTTCTTTTTCTTCCATAACAAAGTCAGTAAAACATACACTACCCTCAATCTCACCCATAGATATAAGTTTGAATATTATTCTATTTCTTTGTGAAAAGTTACAAGTATACAGAATCTTTCTTAACTCAACATGTTTAAAGTTTATAATAATGTAAATATTAATCGGAGTCAATCAATAGATTCCGAAGTTATGACGAATTTGACATTTCGATATATGTCTCGTGTTTGTCGTAGTGATAAACCTTTAGTCTTGGCTGGAACTGTCAGCAACGTCGATAGGCCCATTATAATTAGTCCCATTGAAATCAGAACAAAAGCATAAACGTCGTATTGCAATTTGAAAACTATAATGAATATTGTGTGAACAATGTGCTCAACACCTGTTGCTATTACAATTGAAACACTTTTCGTGGCATATGAAAATGCTTCTGATGTTTGCACATGTCCAAGGACATCGATACTCATGGATGCGAATACAAAGAAAACAATGATGCCAAAACTGAAGACTGACGAAAATTGAAAAAAGTCCTCCTTGGAATTGGAGACGACAAAACAGGTAATTAACAACAGTATTCCACACAGAATTGCACATATATATAGATATTTTTTGCGCTCAAATTTATCAATGAAGAACATAGTCAACATTCCGAAAATAAACCGGCAGGAGAGTAACAAAAACAGCATGTACAGTGAAAATGTTTCAGGGTTGAATAGATGATTGAAGAACCCCATAATAAGTACTGTGAAGGGTACATTTTTTGCGCATACCTGAAATTAACATAAAAATTAATAATGTTTCTCTTTTTTCGATTTTGAACATACACTAAGCACTCGGACGCCAGTGACAATACAAAGCGGTCGAATGTTTTTACGGTCAAAAGGATTGCGACTATCAAGCTCGTCTTCATTTAATTGATGCTTCATCTCGATAAAATCATGTCGAATTTTTGGTGTTTCACATTTTTCATTACGTAATTTTACCATTGTTGCGATGACAATTGCCTCGCGTTCAGCAACCGTATTTTCGTCTGTTTGTTGGAGTAAATATGGTGCCGATTCAATTGTTAAAAACGGCGCCAATATTATTGCAAGAACCGAATAGAAGAGATTCAAATAACCTAAAAAAGAGAGATTTGAAAAACCAAAATAATATTTCAAATAACCCATTATTAATTCCGAGTCGATGTCGTTCTCTATCGTTCCGTTTGTTGTAAAACCGGCAATTAACAATGAAAATGCCAAAACATAGCCAACGCCTCGTAGGATTAATCCACGTATTTGATTAACAGCATTCTCAGCTGCTTGTGTGATGACAGTTAAATAGGCAAGGCCATTGGCTAATCCACCCAAAAATCTTCCCGAAAATAAAATAGAATTAATACGAAATTCAGTGAAGAGTCGTGAGCAAAACAGCAAACTGCTTAGGAGAAGAATGAATGCAGCCAGAATCTAAGGAAGAGTGAGTGTTTCAAGTGGCTGAACTGAGCAATCGTGTGGATGAGAAAAAAAAGCAATTTTGCTGACACAACCTTTGAAGAAACGTTATGATTTTAAATTATTATTCCGAGTTGCTTCGAAGTGTACAAGACGTATGAAGATAAGCAAAACTGCTCAAAGTCTTTTCAATGAAAGATAGCGACGACAGTGCCATATTTTAAATGGAAACATAGCATGCAAGCTGATCTTGGTACACTTATTAATCAGTCAACAGTTATATGAACAACTCAAATTTTGGTTTCACTATTTAAAACCAAATAAGTTATACGATTCTTCAAGATTTGTTTCAGTGAAAAATCACTTTTCTAGCCCCTCAAATGAACAAAATAAGTAAATATTTAAACACGAACATAAATGTTTTTCTTTGACCACTTTGGAATCAGAACTGCGGCTGCAGCCGATCCTATTAAACTTGCTAAATACCAGGACCCAACCATTATAATTACTTCTTTTTCCAGCCAACTTGTAGCTGAATATATTTCCCAAAATGCCCACACAGTATGGACACCACTTCCTAATAAAACGATCAATCCTTAAAAGTAAGAAAAAATTATTATATTAACAAAATATTGACGCAAGAAAATATACATATCGTACCGGCAGTTAGACTAGTTATTTGACGTTTATTCTTCAGTAGTACAGCAAATTGATTTTGATTTGACACATATGGCTTTGACATCTTTTGCAGCATGTGGCGATTTGTTGTTAATCTTGGTGGCAATTCAGGTGCGATCAAAATTTCCTCCTGCTGACTTTGGTCATTTGGATGATGTGTCTCAAGCGACATTTTTATCGATGATCTCACTGAAATATTCAGCAAATGAATGATGAGTTCATGAACTGAGTGTTCAGATAAAAATAACTTTTTTCTTCACCTCACGTTATTTCTTCTTCAATTTCCAATAGTTGCAAAACATAGTTGCTTCATCTTCTATGAAGTATAATTGGAAATATAGAAAAAAGTTTGTTTTATCAATGAAAAAAAAACTCTTGTAAAAATTTGAAGAAAAGATCGTAAATTGTACAACGGATATTGATTTGCTATTCAAACCACAAAAAGAAACCCTTTTGAAATGTATGAACAGAAAGAATTTATCCAGAAACGTTAATTTGTTACCTACATAAAACAATGAGACCCAATTTTGATACAACATTGATTGCAACTTGTAAAGAATCTCTATTTTTCTCTTATACTTTTCAAAATAACTTTCATCAAAACGTGCATACATTTTTAAATCTGAACAACTGAAATATTGAAAAGCCAACATTCGATGCCTATGCATGTAAAATTTTGGTTAAAAGCACAAAAAATATTCAATGGGAGCACAAAATTGAGCTACAATTTTCCTCATAATAAGTAAAATCACAAAAAAAACAAATTGAAATTCAATAAAAACTACTGCATGCGCATGAAAATCGCAAGTAATCTCGTATAAAAAATTGCACACGCAAATAAAATAATAGTTGTCAATTTTGAATGAACTTTGGTTGCACGCGCAAGGAGGTACACATACATCAGATTTGTATATTAAAATTTCTTCCTCCGAAATTCGCTAACACACGTATTTGGTCACATTTTTTGAACCGCATATAGAGATGAATAGTCCAATTCCAAATTCCAATTCGTATTTCACATTAACAATTCTGAAGAAAAAAACATGTTTTTGCTTTGGTTTAAATCGAAAAGTATTTTGCAAATCAGCGCATAAGAAAAATACTGTTACTGTTTTTGAATCGAAGAAAAAAAAGAGACAGAGAATGTTTCCTTTGTCATACATTTCAATGAAAAAAAAAAGCAATCGTAATCATTATTTTTGTTTGAATTGCGAATTTTCGAGGCAAATAATAACTGAACCTTTAAGTAAATGAATCGAATATTTTCAATTTTTGATTGAGCGAATGATGTAATTTGTACTTCTTTTTA